CACAACACACACGGCATGACACACAACACACACGGCATGACACACAACACACACGGCATGACACACAACACACACGGCATGACACACAAGACACACGGCATGACACACACGACACACACACGGCATGACACACAACACAATGACACAACACATACGGCATGACACACACACGGCATGACGCACAACACAATGACACAACACACACAGCATGACACACAACACAATGACACAACACACACAGCATAACACACGACACACACGGCATGACAAACAACACACACAGACACAAAACACACAGCATAACACAAAACACAATGACACAACACACACAATATGACACACAACACACTGACACAAAACACACAGCATGACACACAACACAATGACACAACACACACGGTATGACACACAACACACCCTGACACAACCAGCATGACACATTCAACATGACACAACACACTATAACCCGTTTATAGCGTGTACTTTTTTACTTTATTTTTAAAGACGATCTGTAGAAGAGTTCGTCGTTGACCCCAACAGAAGGGATACGAATGTCTTGGCCAGGTCATCTACCTGGCCGTTTCCTCAGAAGCCCACATGGTTAACCGTACGTTAAGTGTACGTCACACTATAAACCGTACATTACACGTACACCGCGTTACTATAAACCGTACATTACACTAATTACATATATGTCACGCTACTATAAACCGTACATTACACGTATGTCCCGTCACTATACACCACACCTTACACGTATGTCCCGTCACTATACATCACACCTTACACGTATGTCACGTCACTATACACCACACCTTACACGTATATCCCGTCACTATAAACCATACGTTACGTATACGTTGCGCTACTATAAACCTATCATGACCGATGTTACGCATACGCCGCACCACTATAAACCATTAGTTTCTCGGCTCTGGTTTTTCTGTAGGAAGATCTAGCCCCCAGAACAGACTGGATTCCTATTTGCCAACAAAACAGGTGTCTATTGGTCACTGGTAGGCAGTTTGTGCGTGTGACTTTACTGCTAGGCTTCCCGCCCCTGCACACTCTCACTTACTGTCAACATCTACATGATTGTAAAAGGCAGAACATTTCCCTTTTTGACTTAGATTTGCCAGTTTTTCTCAATGATGGGTTGGATGGGGAATATTTAAGGAATGAGGAAAGTGAGAAAAGTGACAGTATCGAGGATCCCTGGTCTATGCTAGCTAACGACTCTTAGCCTTTGGTTTTTTTTTATTGCAAAATTCAAAATCAAAGTCATCTCTATTCTCACGGCAACGTCATATAATGCAGTTTCTTAATTTTTCAACTTATGAATGGTACGTTTTCTGCTTTGCCTATACTGACATTATTATTGTTCTGTGTGAGGTTTATTTGGTGGAGGGAGACGTACCGATAGCACAACAGACAAAGACAATCCAGATTTTTTCCATCCCTCACACTGACTCCGACGTGAAAGAAAATGTTTCCATGTAAGACTTTTGAGCGGTCACTCTTGTACAAATAATCGGCTGGTCATTTGGACATTGTTGGCCCAGATCTATTACACAAGCTGATGTCAGTATGGTATAAAAAAGGGTATGGTATATTTAGTATAGTTACAAAAGGTATGATATATTTACCATAGTTACAAAAGGTGTGGTATATTTACCATAGTTACAAAAGGTGTGATATATTTACCATAGTTACAAAAAGGTGTGGTATATTTACCATAGTTACAAAAGGTGTGATATATTTACCATAGTTACAAAAAGGTGTGGTATATTTACCATAGTTACAAAAGGTGTGATATATTT